AGCAGGCCATGTGATCATGGAGCTGAGAGCCACATCTTGATCTATAGGCCGAGAGAGAGAGAAGGAGAGAAGAAGAAAGAGAGAAAAACAGACTTTGGACTGGGCCTGGGATGGGCTTTTGAAACCTGAATGCCCACCCCTAGTGACACACTTCTTCCAACAAGGCCACCCTTCCTGATCCTTCTAATACTATCAAAGAGTTCTACTTCTGGTGACTAAGCATTCAATTATGAACCTGTGGGGGCGAGCAGCATTCTTATTTAAACCACCACAAATGGGAAATCAAATCCTGGAACTCGTGTTAAGTACTCTTGCTTCTAAAGTGTAGAGGTTAATACTCAAACGCAGTAACACACACCTGGTCTTGAGTATCCTGGAAATGAATGTTAAGGCATGCCTTGGAATGGGGGTGTTAAATTGTAAAGGTCACTACCTTTTGGGCTTTTCAGGATCACGGTAGGGCTCCTTCTTTCCTCAGCTAGTACTGTGAACCTCAGCTGCGATCAGCTGCTAAATTCTAAATCCTTAACTTGTCACGGGGCTTCTGCCTCCCATTAATAACTAATTAAGTGCTGATTCTGTGGCTCCTTTTTACAGGGTTCAGACTAGGCAACGTGGTTCACGCCATCCAGGCAACAGAACAGAGCATCCAAGTCACGGACCTAGTGCCCCGCTTATGCCTTACGCTAGCCAACCTGAACCGCATGGTTTATTACATCTGTGACACTGTCCTGTGGGTGAAGAGTGTGGGTCTGACCTCTGGCGTCAACAGAGAGAAATGGCAAATGTGGGCCACCCGCCACTACTACTACTTCCTCCTGCTGAGCCTGGCCCGCGATCTGTACGAGATCTTGCTGCAGATGGAACGAGTGGCCCGGGACAGGGCCAAGAGAGAGAAGTCATCCCGGGACCCTCCTGGGTACAGCGTGGTCACTGAAGACACGGACTGGCTGCAGTCCTTTCTCCTACTCCTATTCCAGTCTCTGAAGCGGCATCCTCCCTTGCTCCTAGACACAGTGAAGAACTTGTGTGACATCCTCATCCCTCTGAATCAGCTGGGGATCTACAAATCCAATCTCGGTGTCGTGGGACTGGGGGGTCTCGTGTCCTCCGTGGCCGGCCTCATCACTATAGTGTATCCTCAGTTGAAACTGAAGACCCACTAGGTGTTTGGAGGTTTGGAAGCTAACAGTTTAGTGGAGCAAATGTCTGTTTTTGTCACGGGGTCTCACAGTGCTTAATTGTTTAATCATGTGAGCGTCTTACCAACTTGCAATGTGAGAAGTGGGACCAACAATGGCTCATGCAGACTGAAACATTTTTTAAATGCTGCAGTAACTTTGGAACTTCTGAGTATTTTCCCTTCAGCTAACATTACTGAGTATTTTTATATGTGTTGTAAGAGCTTAATGTTTGCTGAATGAATAAAAATGGAAAGGAAAGAAATCATAGAAGACCCAAAGAAACTAGAACTGTGGATTTGTTTGTTTGGGTCCTTGATTTCATCAGAGCTGGAGCATGACACTCCTGGCTCTGGTTAAGGCCTCCCTTTCCTCCTATCTGTTATTCTGACCCCTGACCCCACAGGAGTCAGTGTGGGATGGAGGGGAGCTGGGCTTGGAGCCTCCTAACCTGTTGGCCCTGGCCGTTGCTGCAGTGTGTCTTTACTGTGTCCAGAGGTAGACTCAGGGAAGCGTCAGGACCCTCGGGGTGTAAGTTGTGTCTGGGTGGAATCCTCAGGTAATGCTGTGGGGCAGCGGAGGAGACGGAGGTGAAAGTGGGTGAAAGGTCACTGTCGTGCCTATCACATAGTCCGTGACAGATACCTATCACATAGTCCGTGACAGATAAGGAAATTGACGCTAACAAAACTGAAGTCAGAGGTTTGTTCTGGTTCTTTCCAAGGTGATTCCTCTACCATCTCATAACCATCAGCAGCATTTCCAGGCTCAAGAGTCCTTTGCCTTTTGCCCCTTGACACCCCCGCCCCCAACACACATACACATTCCAGGCCTGGAACTTTCACTGATGGTTTCTGTTCTAGTCTGTGAAAAGAAAATCTAGACTTAGTCAGATTGATTTTATTAAAAGCTACAAAACAGTTGGGGCAATTCCATAATAATTTTCATCAAAATAAGAGAATTAAAAATTTCTTGTCTTTGAATGTAAGAATGTCAGTTTTCTGTGATAAATCAGGTTTACTCAGGACAGCAGGGGGAGAGAGGGTGGGAAAGAGCAGTAGGGCCAGTGAAGGGTACATGGGACACCGAGTCCCCGCCACCAGGCGGGCCCGTGACAGCACTTACCAGTGAAGGGTACATGGGACACCGAGTCCCTGCCACGAGGCGGGGCCGCGACAGCACCTATAAAGCCATCTGTATCATTTAAATGGAAATGTGAAATACGTACTGAATAACTGTTCCCCATAAATGTGATGAAGATCCTTGAGAAGTGGACTCGGGTCCTTGGCTCTCTGTTTTTAAAATGAGTGACGGGAGAAAACTTTTGGGGGAATCCGAGAAAAACTAGAGCGGCTAAAACAAGACAAATATGCCTAAGTAGCTACTTGTACGGTAACATCGGTTATGTCTAATAAATTTCTAAACAGAATTGACTCGCGCGTCTATGAATGTGTCTGGGATTGGAGTTTAGAGTAAGTGAGCTGAGGAAGCTCGGGGCTGGCAGGTGCTGGCTGGGAGGATGGCACAGGGACATGGATATCAGGACTCTTGGTTGAACGGTTCCTTTGCACGCTGTCCAGACCACCCCTGCCAAGGTGCGCTACCGTAGCCTGGCCATGGCTGGCTAGCGTCTTCCTGGAGAAGCCTGCCTTGAGTTCATGGCAGTGTTTTACAGCTATCTGTTTTGGTCCTTGGGTCTCACACAGTGGAGAGGATGGTGGGCAGGTTGGGAGCTACCATCTCTAGAGTCTGTAAACTCCGTAGGGCCCTGCTACCTCGTCCTTGTATCTTTCTCCACATCTAACCTCACCTCCTGGGTCCACAGTCACGAGGGATTTCAAAAACTAAAAAGTCCTGAGGGGCTGCACAGACCAGCACCTTCACAGCTGAGCGTTGCTGCTGAGGGCTGGCTCCGCAAATGTCTGAGTGTCCTGTTCGGCTTGGGGACCCACCTGTGCACAGCCTGGCCAGGATTCCTGCTCCCCTGCAGTGGAGGGAAGGGGCCAGCATGAGAGCCTGAGATAGCTCAGAGCCTTCCCATCCCCCAGTACTGTTGGAGACTGCCTCTTCCCCTCCCCCCCCCTAGGATCTGCCTGGCTCTTTCCCTTCTCACCTCTCACCCACTTTCTAGAATCTCAGTGGAAGCTGTCAAAGGACCAGCCTTGTCAGCAGAGCTGTTAGGCACAGAGCCCTCTAGCCCCTCTGGCCCAGAGCCACCACCCGAGAAGGCAGACTGCCCTTTAACCTGGGCCGTGTCCAGATGCGAGCCTTCCGGATCGTTTGTCCTGGACCTTGAAGTGAGAGCAGAGGCCACTTTACACACACGCTTCCCTCCTTCGCCACAGCTGTCTTACAGCTTAAAGGCTCAGACCAAGGTTGATAGGTATCAAACGCTTCACTTATTCACTACCTCTTTTGGAAGCTCCTTGCTCCACATTCCTCCCTTTCCTGACAGCTTGTTCCCTGTTTTATTACACGGAGGATAAAATTTACTATCAGAGAGCTATCTGTATCTCATATCCTTATTTTTTAATTACATTTATTTATGTATCGGTGTGTGTGCACACGTGCACGTGCGCGCGTGTGTACATGCACACACTCAAGTGTCACAGCATGCATGTGGAGGTCAGAGGACAGCTTGCCAGAGTCAATTCTCTCCTACCACGTGGGTCCCAGGGACTGAACTCAGGTGGTCAGACTTGGTAGCAGTCACCTTGACCTGCTGAGTCATTTTGCTGAACCTACGGCCCGGTATCTTTCTGTTCTACACTAACTCAGTAGAGTCAGCAACATGCAAATCTGCTAACTAGGAACGGTATTTCGTGTTGTCCTCTCATTTTGATAAGAGGCCCTTTCTAGCTGGTCGGAAGACACTGGTTGAGATTACAGTGTTCCTTCCATCTACTATAATCAGGAACTAAAGTTTGAGCTTCCTCGGTGGAGGAAGGAATGGCATGCACTGATAGTTCTTGACTGTTTGGGTGCTGTTGGTTGGCAAAACAAAACAAAACAAATCCAAACTCAACACCATCACTTCTCCAGACTTAGGTGAACAATGATTCTCCTTCTTCCTGTTCTGGCCATATCTTGGGCTAGGTAAAGCTTCACCCCGCCCCCTTTCCTCAGTGCTGAAGATCAAATCCAGGGTCTTCAACGCTAGGCAAGCACTCTGCCACTGAGCTCCGCCCCCAGCCTCTAGTTTTTTGAACTGAGCTCTTGCTCTGTAGCTCAGGTTGCCTTCAAATTATCAATCCTGCCTCAGCATCCTGAGTGCTGGGATTACCGGCATGTACAACCAGCTTCAAAATGTTTTCTTTAACTTTCAAGATTTACAGAGGTTAAAACTGTTCTCTCGGAGCCCAGATTACTGAGGACTCAGCTCTATCTTGGCTTCTTTTCTGGGAAATTATCTTGATAGTCATAGACTAATATAGTAAACTGAACCCCATCCCTGTGTGGGTTTGAATCATGCTGTTCAACAGTCATCCTTGCTAGCAAATAGCAAAGGATGGGAGAAACTCTATGGGAGTACTGGTCCATAAAAACTTTCGGGGGAAGGGACCAAAGATTGGGGACAGGGACAGAATGGCATGGAACTTTGATCTTAGGGGTTTAACGGCACAAATACTAGTGTCTTCTTTATGGAAAACAATTTTTGTCCATTGAAAGCCAGAAATATTCTGGAACTACTGTTTGGGGTTCTGGCACAGGGCTCCGTCAGCTCTGTGAGCAACCTTGTCATTGGCTAAGCGTCCCCCATAGAAGCTAGGATGAGCCCAGGGGACATCCTGGGTCAGACAGCTATGGCAACGGGCCGGCCCAGCTTTCTCTTCTTTCTTGCCCTCCTCCAATTGGGAGGTCTGAGAGGCATTGCCCAAGATTCCCTGGAGTGGCTGGAGGTGCTTCTGTGGAGACTTTCCGCAGCTGGGTCTTCTGAGACTGAGGTGGCCAGCCGCTGCAGTGAGTGTGGGGGTTCTCGGGTGTCTGCCTTACCCTGCTGCTTTCTGGGTGTTAAAGGGGAAGGGGCTGGGAGAAGGAGCAGATGGGAAAATTCCGAAGGGGCGCAGTGCTCTGCAGAGAGACCATTGAGGAAAAGACCAGAGCAGAGTGGCCATGGTCTTCCCCAGAAGACAGTTCTTTGGGAGGCTTACCTAGCTGGCACGAGAGGGAAATGGTAATTAACTAGAATTTTATCATGGAGAAAGGACTAGACTCTACCTGACACTCATTCTTTAGTCTCTTTGGGACTCTGGTTTAAGAGCCCCAGACTTTATCCTTCTCTCATTCTCTCCTTATCTGTATATAATTACCTACAATTTCTTTTATCTTGAGCCCTTAAAAAAAAATCAGACATCAATTTTGAGCAGACTTTGGAGACATAGGAGACTCGTTGTGTTGGGACTCCAACGAGTGGCCTCTTGTATGGGACATTCATCCTTCAACCTAGGGCAGCTGAGGTCCCGGATAGCTGGCGGGTGGCTGGGGGAGGTCGGGAGTCGCCCCGCGGACTGCAAGCCTGTGGGCTTCTGATGGACCTGGGACTCTGCCTTGCAGCCTGAAGAGTAAGGATGGCAATGAACAAGGGCCCGACCCTGCTGGATGGAGACCTCCCTGTGAGTAGCCTGGCCTCATGTGAGACGGGGAATGGACAGCCAAGGAAGGAGGAGAGCGCAGATTGGGAGAGCCAGGGGTCTCAAGTCGGGGGTTCCCGACTAGTTGAGACTTTCTCTCAACTATTTCTGCCCTTGTCACCGTTAGCAGGGGTGTTTGGGGGAACTGGGGAAAAGAGACGATGCCTACGAAGGTCTAAGAGCCTCGGTGAAAAGGATAGGAGTGTTGGCTGGGGGTTAAGGAGAGATGGGGCAAGAACTCACCATGCCCAAGGCAAAAGGGCACCACTCAGGAAGATATGCATGCCATTTGGAACCCATGCATTCTATGACTCTGCAATGCCCTCACTGCCTGTGCTGCCATGCGTGGGAATAAACGGGACACTCAGTGTGGCCATCATTCATCTCTGGCCTGGTTTTCACCGTGATTTTAAATAATTCTGAGACTTTTCTATGTCCTTGATACGTTTTGCTAAAACCTCTCTGATTTGGGTACAGTTCAGATAGTTAGTGACATTCAGAGTTATGACCCTGTCGGAGACTAAACTCATCCCTAATTAGCCTTTACTGAACCTCCATTCTGGGGATAACTGCCTTGTTTTGTACTAAACTGTAACGGGTGAAAATGGGTCGCAAAACGGGTGAAATGCTAAGTTAGTGTTTTTTTTTTTTTTAAGTTAGTGGTTTCTTCCACGCCCAGCCCGTTTCTCCTTTAACTTTGTACAAAACTTGAAAGTGCTGTCCAAAACGTTAAAGAGAGTGTTTCCTCACCTTCTCCAAACCCCTTTCTCCTTCTGATATCTGACTCACCGGCAGGATAAAATACTGTGGCTTTTTTGTGCCAGAGCCCAAACCGTTCTCCTTGATGGTTCTGCTAACTTGATCCCCTGCAAGCAGAGCCTGTCACAGGGTGCATCTAAAGTGAGACAGAGCTGGAGCAGAGGGGTCAGCCCTGGACAGTTGGCTTGTACCACTTTTTGAGTGGACAATTCTTAACATTCACAAGACTAGGCAAAAGAATACAAGGTCCCAAGTAGTTTTGACTTATTGCAGAGACCATGAATCCGTGACCAATCTGCCTCATCCTCACCCAATCGTTAATTTATTTTATCTTAATTTATTTGGAAGCAAATTCCATAGAGTTCATTTCAAACCTGACTTGGAAACAGTCCAATATAGTGAACATGCTTCTAATCTCAGAATTTGGGAGGTAGAGGCAGGAGAATCAAGTGCTGGTTATATAGTGAGTTTAAGGTCAGTCTGGACTAGATGAGACACTATCTTTTTTTTTGAGACTGGGGCTCTCTTTGCAGCAGTTCTGGCTGTCCTGAAAGTCACTTTGTAGACTAGGATGGCCTTGAACTCACAAAGATCTGCCTAACTCTGCCTCCTTGTGCTAGGATCAATGACATGTCCCATCACACCCAGTGATACCCTGTCTCAGAAACACACACACACACACACACACACACAAACACACACAAAATCAAATCAAACCTGACTGACTTCCTGGCTTTGCTACTTGCTATCTGTGTGATCTTGGGTAAGTCATGTCTTATCTCTGAATCTCAAATACTTGAAACAGCAAATGACTGTTAGGTTTGAGATCAAGGCACCCTGACCAGTGTCCCAGAGCATAATGACCTTTAGTAAAGGTCGCTTCCTACCACGCGACCAGACTCATTCCTTCGCTCTAAGATTGGACTTTTTCTACTCTCTAAAGCTTAATTATGTAACTGCTGACAAAGCAAAATGCTTTGGTAAGAGTAAGACATCCCAATAAGAAGAGAGGACCACAGTGCACCCCAAAGGCTCAAACTTTAAACTTAAAAATGGAGTGTTGTATTTTAAGAAAGGTTGTGTCAATTCTAGAGCATCAGGAGGAAAGGGTCACAAGAACATCGTGTGACCCATTTATAAACTAAGATAGGATGTGTAACTGTTGCCTATGGAATAGGGACCTTTATAGGGTGTCACTAACTGGATGTATGTGATGGGCTGACACACAAAAGGTGAAGTAGATTTGTTTAGGGTTGCTCCAGCGGGGCAGGGGTGGGGTGTGGAGGCAGGCTTCAGCTCAGCAAAGTTACCCAACAAGGGCACCAGCCGCTCTGTGAAGGCATCAAGCCCACCCAAGGAGATAGCCAAATACAAGTCTAGTGAGACTTTCTGGAAAGGATTCTTGCTGAGGAGCCCCAGGAGGCCCCAAATCTGCTAGTCTGTGTAGTCTAGAAGAGCCCACGGGCAGTGGTGGTACTCTCCATTAATCCCAACACTGGGAGGCAGAGGCAGGCAGAGCTCTATGAGTCTTAGGCCAGCCTGGTCTACAAGAGCTAGTTCCAGGACAGGCTACAAAGCTACAGAGAAACTTTGTCAAAACAAAAAACAAACAAACAAACAAACTATTAGTTCCAGGAGTTCCAGGACAGGCAGGGCTACACAGTGAAACCCTATCTCAAAAAACAAAAAAAGCAAATGGATAGATCTAGAAAACAAATTGAGTGAGGTAACCCAGACCCAGAAAGACAAATATAATATGTACTCACTCATAAGTGGCTTTTAGACATAAAACAAAGAAAAACCAGCCTACAATTCACAACCCCAGAGAAACCAGACAACAAAGAGGACCTTAGAGAGAGACATACATGGATCTAATCTACAAGGGAAGTAGAAAAAGACAAGATCTCCTGAATAAATTGGGAGCGTGGGGATCATGGTAGAAGAGGAGGAGGGAGAAAGGGAGGGGGTAAAGGAAAATACATAGCTCAATAAAAACAATAAGCAAACAAAAAGTAAAGAAGAACCTATACTTTCCACAAGGCACAGCTCCATGTATGGCTCATGTCTCTAGGGTCAAGTTTTCACACTGGGAAAGAGAGGACATTCTCCTGGAAGAAAGGAGGCATACACACATAATCATAGCAGGGTGATGTATGTAGGGACAGCCCAAGGACAGACAGAACCATGATGGAGGAGAGCCAAAAGCTGGTCAAGGTGACAAGTTTATAATCCCAGCACTTGGGAGGTGGAGTCAAAACATCAGTAGTTCAAGGTCATCCTTAGCCAAGTATTGAGTTCAAGGCCAGCCAGGGCTACTTGAGGCGCTGTCTCACAGAGGGAGTGAGAGTGAGCAGAAAAGGGTGTGGGAGGGACAGCCAGCCTATTCGGCAGTGGTCCAGGACTTGTAGACCAGGGCCCGGATCTCAGAAACACCATGAAAGTGTTTAGATGAAGCTACCAGTTGACGGGGCACTAAAACCCTCAGCAGATACATTAACTTGAGAGTCAGTCTAAGAGGGGTGAGCTGGGAGGGGGATGGGATTTGGTTTGGTCCCCAGAGAACACAGACCGCCTCAAGAGTTCTCCAGAGTCTAGGTAGTGACCAGGAAGACATTACAGACAGGTTTTCATTTTCCCTGAGGGCTCCCTTATGGTCCCATGACTGAGTGATTTAGAAACACCTTGCTTTCCTTAGAACTGGGCTGGCCTCACCAACGCCATGTATGACCCTAGCTAGGCTCAGCTTACAGGGAGGTTGAGTGGGGGGTGGTAGGCTCTGACTCTTTTTTTTTTCCTCACAGGAGCAGGAGAATGTTCTCCACAGAGTCCTGCAGCTGCCTGTGGTGAGCGGCACTTGCGAATGCGTCCAGAAGACCTACAACAGCACCAAAGAAGCCCACCCCCTGGTGGCCTCTGTGTGCAATGCCTATGAGAAGGGTGTCCAGGGTGCCAGCAATCTGGCTGCCTGGGGCATGGAGCCGGTGGTCCGCCGGCTGTCCACCCAGTGTGAGTTCTCACTGAACCTGGCAGCAGCCTGCCCGCCCACTGATAATCATTGCCTGTCTGCCCGTCTGCTTGTCAGTCTGTCTGATCATCTCACAACTTGTCTGTCCACCTCCTTGAACAACTTCCTGGTCTTTTTGTCTGCAGAGATAGAGGCACAGATGCAGATCTCTTTGTTTCTACACATGCCTCAACTGTAGTCTGGTCTAGGGCATCCTAGGTTAACAGTGACAAAGAATTTTCAAGGGGAAAGATGGGTAGAACTATGTGAGCAGCGGTGAGAGGGGAGCCTGTGGCAGGACAGCTAGCCAACCCGACTCCAAATACAGCAGAAGGAGCAATATCCATGAAAGCCGCCCTACCAGTGCACAAGGACACCAAGCAAAAAGGCCCATTCACCCCATTGCTGCTGATACTGGCTCCCACCAGGTGGGGCAGTAGAGAGTTACCAGGCAGGGTTCTGGGGGCAGAAACAAGGCTCACCCTGTCTCCACCATCCTGCCTCCATCAGAAAATACGGCCTCTAAGACTCAGCTCTTCACAGGGCTGAGGGAAATCTCGGCAGCACCATGAAGCCTAGCATCTTCTATCGTCCTAAGAGATTTGGGGGTGAGAATTCTACCCAGCAACCAGGCAAAGAAGACTTAAAGGCTCGATTTCAGGTTCACGGTCAGATAGACGGCCCTGGTTACATTCAGTGGGCCACAGAACAAAACAAAACGATGAGGAATGTGAGAAACAGACATGGGGGATGGCAAGGGTGGGAGAGAGATAAGAGAAGATGTGGGGATGAGTGAGAAAATGGATTCTATTTGTGTATAAAGTTCTCCAAGAAAAACGCATTCACCTCATGAAGGTGATGATGATGATGATGATGATGGTGATGATGGTGATGGTGATGATGGTGGTGGTGGTGGTGGTGGTGGTGGTGATGGTGATGATGGTGGTGATAACGATGGTGATGATGATGATGATGATGGTGATGACGGTGGTGGTGGTGGTGGTGGTGGTGGTGATGGTGATGATGGTGGTGATGATGGTGGTGATAACGATGATGATGATGATGCTGATGGTAAGGATGATGGTGGTGGTGGTGATAAATACCACAGACTCTAGTCTAGCCCTCATGGATACCCTCATTCTGTCCCATCTGAAGGCAGCCAAAGTCATCTGGGCTCTTTGCTGTTTCAGACAAATATGAAAAAGTATCTATAAACACTCTTTAAACCCGTGCCATCGGTGACCTTGACCATAGAGGCTGCGTCCTCAGCAGACCATGGGCAGTCTGCCCCTGGAAACATCTGCATTCCAGAGCTTGTCCCACTCCGCTAGGGCAACTTCGTTCTCTTCCCCGTGGCTCCTTTCAGCTGCAGCCATCTTGACAGCTGGGGGTTAAATCGGGGTCTAGGGACAGTCTGGAACTGCTCTGACCGTGGCTGTATGTATCATCCCCAGGACTCGGCAAGCCCAGGCCTCGTCCCCCTGAGGCCAAGGCCAAGGGGACCAGTGTCACCTGCCTCACTCCCACATGGATTCTCTCACTTCCTCACAGCCTTCCAGAGCACTGAACAGGAAGTCTGGGAGGAGGGAGAGACTCCTGCTCTGCGCACTCCTAACCTGCTCATCCATTCACGCTTTGCAAACACAGAGGCTGATGGTTCTGGCTCCTGACAGGAGGGGGCAGCAGAGAGCTGCTGTCCAGGGTCCTAGAAGTAAAGAACATGGGCCATGTGATGAGCCTTACCTGGTCTTCAGACAGATGAGACTCGGACCACATGCTGAGCAGGTGTAGGTCTTACTGAGTCCAAAATGAACCTGCTCTCAAGGAGCCATAAGTACATGGGTACTAAATACAGCAGAGTCCAGATGACCTGGAAGCAGCAGAGCTGGGATCTGAGGGCCCCAATGTACTTCCTTTGAGAGAGAGGCCACTGTTTTTTCCTGGGGAGGGGGCAGAGATCATCCCAACACAGCCTTTCCCTTTCAGTCACAGCTGCCAATGAGTTGGCCTGCAGAGGCCTGGACCACCTGGAGGAAAAGATTCCAGCCCTTCAATACCCTCCGGAAAAGGTGAGTCCTCCCTCTTTCGTGGTGCTCCGTATACTCCATTGTGACCTCCTCTCAGGAAGGAGAGCAGCCAACGCCCCAGCTGTGTAACTTTCTGTGTTCACGGGGTGAGCACCCTCTTTGGCAGAGGGAGACCCCTCTTCCTCTTTCTGTGGGGTCCGGTAGAGTCGGGGTGTCTGGGATAGCAGGTATATGCCTCGGGCAAGCTCAGACAGACACTTTCAGGGTCCTCAAGGGGGAGAAAGGGTTAACCCCTGTGTGGTCCCTTCCATAATTGCACAGCCTTCTGATACTATGGCCGTGGGATCTGGAACTCTAAGGGTTTGGCACAGAACTCTGTGGCGACAGCAAGTATCAAATTGCCAAGTCCACTCACTGGAACCTCGGGGTCACATACCTGGCCTTGAGATCCAACTCTCTATAGACCGTGAGATGAAATAAGTCACTCCCCCTGGGCCACGTCTTTATCTAATCCTATCCAGTACTGGCTTCAATAATGCCTATGGCCTCATCTATTTTACTGACCAACCACCAGCCTGTCCTACAAATCTCCCCTGAGCCCCGTGCCCTATGTCCTGTCCTTGTCAACAGTCGCAGTGTGGCCTTCATAGAGCCCTCTCAGGTCATCCTTGAGGATGGGGCTTGCTGCCCTCATTGTGCTGATGAGTAAACCCAGCCTGAGGTAGAGGCCACCAGGGGCAGGCCTGCTGGTCACCTCCTCTCTAGTGCCCTAGACCAAGCCACAGAGGAGCTCCCGGGGTCTCAGATGGAAGAAGGCGAGTTACTCCAGCATAAAGCTTGCCATATCTGTCAATCAGTGTGAACTGTGTGCTGAGGGAAAGACAGAAGAGGGAGGTGCGCCTTTGGAAGATGGGGTGCTTTATGTGAATGAGGTTATCGGGACTGGAACCACCAGGGAAACTTTTGGGGCTACAGAATGGATCTTCATGCAATATGAAGAAGCCAGGAGACCCAGGTGACTGGCACAGTCAAGGTGACCTTTTTCTTTCCCACATAGCCACATATTTCTGCTGGTTCCCGGATCCATTTTTTTTTTAATTTTTAATTTTTCAATTTTTAGACATGGTCTTACACTGTAGCCCAGGCTGGCCTTGAACTTACTTTGTAGCCGACGATAGCACCAAACTCATCGTGATCCTCCTGTCTCAGCCTCCAGCCCTTGTATTACAAGTGTGCGTTGCCATGTCTAGTATGCCTGGGTCTTTAAATGGGGCCCTCCAGAGACCTGGGCTCAGGGCCGGTGAGGAAATCCACACAGCTGACTGTCTCCCCCACACTCCCCAGCTCGCCTCTGAACTGAAAGGCACCATCTCTACCCGCCTTCGAAGCGCCAGGAACAGCATCAGCGTGCCCATCGCAAGCACATCGGACAAGGTCCTGGCCAGCTGCGAGCTTGCCTTGGGGGTGGCTAAAGAGACCGTGGAATATGCCGCCAACACCCGAGTGGGCCGATTGGCTTCTGGAGGGGCTGACCTGGCTCTGGGCGGCATTGAGAAGGTGGTCGAGTTCCTTCTGCCACCAGCCAAGGAGGAATCAGGTAACTGCCCTTCAGACTGGCTGGCTGCCCTGGGAGCCCGCTGTGCACTCAGAACCTGAGGATCAGTGGGGGACCCCAAGTCTTATCGGCCTTGCTCTGGAATAGGGAATGTCCCCTCGGAATCTCTAGAGGTGCTCGGTCCTTTGCTCCTTCCATCCTAGATATAAGAGGGAGAGGGAGCTGACATTGGCTAACACCAGTGGGGTCATGGTTGAAGTAAGGCAACCCCTTTTCAGGCCAATGCACCACCCTGAGGCCATTTTCTAGTCTTTCAAAAATGTATGTGTTTGAGTGTTTTGATTGCATGTATGTGTGTGCACCATGTGTGTGACTATGGTCTGCAAGAGCCAGAGGAGGACACTGGATCCTCGGGAACTGGAGTAACAGATGCCCATGAGCTACCATATTGGTGCTGGGAACTGAACTCAAGTCCTCTACAGGAGTGACAATCGCTCTTGACTACTGGCTGAGTCAAGGTCCCTCCATCCATTTTTGATCTGTTTTCTTCTATATCTTTTATCTAGCCCCCACTTCTGGACGGCAGAGGGACCCGAAGACTCCCAAGGCCAAACCAAGCCTCGTGAGGAGGGTCAGCACCCTGGCCAACACTCTTTCACGACACACCATGCAGACCACTGCCTGGGCCCTGAAGCAGGGCCACTCTCTGGCCATGTGGATCCCGGGCGTGGCACCTCTGGTGAGTGTCTGCTCAGACTCTGCCTGGCCCTGCTCGGTGGGTTTCCTGGTCCCTCTGTCCTGGAAACATCCTTCAAGCTGGGCTGGAACCTTAGACGTAAAGACGGGGATCTTAAGAGAGTGGTGGCGCACGCCTTTAATCCCAGCACTTGGGTGGCAGAGGCTTGCGGGTCTCTGCGAGTTCAAGGCCAGCCTGGTCTACAGAACTAGTTCCAGGACAGCTGGGGCTGTTACAGAGAGAAACCCTGTCTTAACAAACAAACAAACGAGCAAGCAAGCAAACAAATAAATAAATAGGATGTTGGTCTAATTGCCCAGGCCACAAATTGAGGGGTGGTCCTGATCCATCTTCTTCTGTCTCCCCTGTCCTCTCTAGAAGTCTCCCTGACTCCCAGTTTTCATGACCCAAAGTGCCCGGGCCACCTTCCTCACCACCACACCCAGGCCAAGCTGCATCTCCATTCATCTTGATGCAGTTAGGCTGCAGTTTTTGGAAATAAGAAACTTAGTGGGAAACAAAGAGGTAAAAAATGAAAGAAAAAAAGGAGAAAAAGTATTCAAGTCAGGCACATAAGTGCATGCTAATAATCTCCACACTTGGGAGGCAGAAGTGGGAGGATTTCTTCAAGTGTGAGACCAGCCTTGTTGACAGAGTGAGTTCCAGACTATCCAGAGCTGTATTCAGACTCCATTTCAAAAGACAACAAGACAAGACCCTCCAACAAAAATAAACAGAAAACCAGAGACAAGTAAAACAGCACAGAGAACATGGAGGCGGGGTCTGGACAGGGCTGCAGCTCAGTGGTAGAGCCCTTGCTAGCTCACTGGAGGCCACACACCCACAGAGCCGCAAGAGGAGAAATCTCAGGAGTCAGCAGGCAGTGACCGCTTTTCAGTTGTGTGAAAGGTCTTTATTACTTTATTTTTTAAGCTTTAATTGACTAATTTTTTGAGATGGGTTTTATTCTGTAGCCCAGGTTAGCCCTTATTTTGTGGCTGTCTTCCTGCCTTGACCTTCCAAGTGTTGGGATTGCAGGTGTTTCCCATCACACCTGGCTGTGAGTGGTAGTCTTTTTCACATTCGGTTTTACTTATTACTCTGTGCGTAGCCCCCTACCCCTTCTGGGATAGGGATGGATGCATGCTATGTTGGTATGGTGGGGATGGCACCCATCCTGAGGTCAAAAGACAGCTCTCAGGGGCTGGGGCTCTTGAGAAGCAAGACAGGAGGATCCCTGCAGGTTGAAGGCCAGCCAGGTCTACATGGTGAGTTCCTGCCAGCCAGGGTTACATAGTGAGACCTTGTCTCAAAATATGTATATATGAACTGAGGTTGGGGCTACAAACTCAAGCTTTGAATAGAAGGGCCTCGGATTCCATCTCAACATTAAAAAGAAAAGAGAATAGCCAAAATGAATGTGTGACTGTAAAGTTAGAGGGTTTGGACCACAGACTCGGGAATACAGATGGAAGAGACTGACAAGAATCTTTTGGGATGTTGAAATAGTCTCTATCTTTATCTGTTATGGTTACATATTGTGTGCTTAGAAAGTCACAGAGTTCTATGCTAACAATGGATGCCTTCGGTGATAAGCTATTGCTAATTAAGATGCTGGGGAAGAGGTTAGCTAGATGGCTCAGCGGTTAAGACACTTGTTCTTGCTGCAGAGGACCCAGGTTCAATTCCCAGCACCCACATGGTGGCTCACAGCCACCCAGAACTGTAGTTCAGGGGAATCTGATGCTCTCTTTTGACCCCGTGGGCACCAGGCACACAGGTGGTACACATAAAATGAAATAGATAAATAAACTCAAAACCCTGTGGGGCCAGACCCTGCTCACCACCCCTGTCCCTGCTCCTTTGACCAAGCCTTTCAGCCTAGGGGGTCCACTGAGCCATCTGTCTGCTGGCCATTCTCCCGCAGAGCAGCCTGGCCCAGTGGGGTGCGTCAGCAGCCCTGCAGGTGGTGTCCCCGCGGCGGCAGAGTGAGGTGCGGGTGCCCTGGCTGCACAACTTAGCAGCCTCCCAGGATGAGAGCCATGACGACCAGACGGACAGCGAGGGAGAGGAGACAGACGAGGAGGAAGAAGAGGGGTCAGAGGCTGAAGAGAACGGGCTTGGAGAGGTGATGAGGGGACTGAGCGCCTGAGGCCGCACAGCCCGTGGGTGGGGCTGAGAAGCAGAGAAGCTGAGTAAAATAAAGGACTCTGTCCCCAGGTCACCCCCAATCCACAGCCAACTAAGCATCACTGTGTCACTCAGCGGGCTCCACCACACCCAGAAAAGTAGGCAGGGCGGGGGGATTGCTGCTCCATTTTGCAGATGAAAAGTCTGGGGGGGGGTCGGAGAGAGGAAGTGACAGGAAGTGACATGCCCAAGGTCACACTACCCACAGCTAGGGACAGAGCCTCTCTCTCTCTCTCTCTCTCTCTCTCTCTCTCTCTCTCCTCTAGCTCTGGGCTGGTGGTTAGGGAAAGGATCAGAGGAGTTGATGCAGGACAGGGGCTAATGGTTCTCTGGCCCGCAGGTAACAGCCCTGCCCAACGCGAGAGGCCTCCTGGGTGGGGTGGTACACACCGTGCAGAAGACTCTCCGGAACACCATCTCAGCAGTGACATGGGCACCTGCGGCTGTGCTGGGCACGGTGGGAAGGATCCTGCACCTCACACCAGCCCAGGCTGTCTCCTCCACCAAAGGGAGGGCCATGTCCCTATCCGATGCCCTGAAGGGTGTTACCGATAACGTGGTAGACACTGTGGTACACTATGTGCCGGTGAGTCCCACCCCAGGGCCACCTTCTCCCAAGGCAGATTTGGTTGAAGGAGATGTAGGACACCCCCGCTCCCGCTTCTTCCAGCCCCGTGGAGACCCTTCTCCAATCTTCAGTACTCAGAACCTTCTTACAGACTGATCTTTGCCAGTCCAGAGCACAGACGTTCATAGCCCTGGCCTCAGATCTCTCCCCTACATTGTGCCTCTCTTTTGATGATGGAGTCATTGGTTTGAGTCCCTAGAGGCTCAGACCGCCCCTTTAGCTCCAGAGGAAGGGCCTGGCCGTAAGCTTTCAGGACAACCTGTGCAGTAGGCTGAGCATTCTAGGGAGAGTAGCGGGCCCTAGGTCAGCTCTATCAACAGCAGCGCGGGGCGGGGTGGGGGGGGAGCGGAGAAACCAAGACTAATATCATCTTTTTGGGAATCCCTGACACCCTCTCCAAAGGTTGAGTAGGGAGAGCAGGCTGAAGTAGAGCTTGGTGAAAGGGGAGGTGCCCCTAGAGCTGGCCAGGGGAAAGGTTACTCAATCAGCTTCAAGGAGGGGACTCCTCCCACTACTAGAGGCGACCAGAGTCCTTAGAACCTCAGGGGTCTCTCGGATCCCCCCCCCTCCATCTTGATGGCTTGCACCCCAGTCTGTGCCCTTGTGATGGATGCCCCCTGGTGGGGGGAACTAGGCTAAAAGATATAGAAAGGGGCATGACTCCAAGGAGAGGGATCCCTAACAAGAATGCCCGGCTGTCAGCTTCCCAGGCTGTCCCTGATGGAGCCCGAGAGCGAATTCAGAGACATCGATAATCCGCCAGCAGAGGTCGAGCGCAAGGGGTCCGGGGCGCGGCCAGCCAGTCCGGAGTCCGCGCAGCGTCCGGGTCAGCCTCGGGGTGGCTTGCGCAGCGTGCGGGGGCTCAGCGCGCCCTCCTGCCCGGGTCTGGACGACAGGGTGGAGTCGTCGGCGCGTCCCGGCTTCCTGGCCATGCCCAGGGAGAAGCCTGCGCGCAGGGTCAGCGACAGCTTCTTCCGGCCCAGCGTCATGGAGCCCATCCTGGGCCGTGCACAGTACAACCAGCTGCGCAAGAAGAGCTGAGCGACCTGCGTCCCTGCTCGCCCCGGCGCCACCCCATGGAAGGTTCGCCTCTCACCAAGGAAACAGAAACCACACTTCTAAGTGGGCCTCTCCGTCAGATTGGCTCCTTGGAAGCCTGAGCTACATCCCCACGATGATGCTGCACACATCATTTCTAAAGCATCCTTTGGGGGCTTGGCCATCACAGGCAGTTTTTAAGGGGCACCAGAGTAGCGGTCGATTTTTATTTCATGGCTTTCTTTTCTTCCTTCCTTCCTTCCTTCCTTCCTTTCTTTGTTTCTTCCTTCCTTCCTTTCTTTTTTTTTTTAACTAAAAAGTAATTGTTTAATTCAATTTCTCACTTCCGTGTCAAAATTTGTGGCGAAATAACACCTGACTGATTCTAAAATTCACATTCTTTCTCTGTGAACATGTATTTTTTTGGTAGTGGGTTAGTTGACAATTTCTTTTCTTTCTTTTTTTCCCCTCTTTCCTTCCTCTCTTTCCCCTCTCTCTTTCCTCTTCTCCTTCTCCCAAGTAGCACAGGCTGGGTCCTTCTCCAGTGCTAGGAGATGCCCTCTCTGGTCTGCTCCCTCTGAATGTCAGGAATTCCTGGTGCTTTTTTAGCGCTGAGCCTAAGACCCTCTGATAACCTGGCTCTCAGCACACCGCTTTGAAATGAACAACGAGGTGCCAAAGCTTTTGTGCGCTTATTTAGATAGCAGTTCAGACTTTGCATCTCTCTTGCCTGCACAGTGGAGCCTCGGGTCCGTGCCACGGCTCCTTCTCATCACTCCTGCCTTCCACCTGTGTGGTCACTCTTGAATGTTGATACCCCCAGACGCTGGGAGCCGACAATGGTCACCTTTAGCCTAACAGTGTATACTATATAGAGCACATACCCATAGCCACCATTCATTCCAAATCCCATTTTTGGAGAATATCAGTATTTGGTCAATCTAGGGAATTCATAAATATACTTGTTCAAACATTGCAAGGTGTGTGTTTTTTCTTTCTGGATTTCTCTATTCTCTTTCATAAATACAGCCACACTTCAGTTTCTTATGGTTCCTTCCAGTAATGGGCTATGCTTGGGCAAGCACATGTGTATAAACACCCATCTTTGTTTATACAAACCGTGGGTGGTATCCTCCCTGGCTTTTCCTACTCTGGTCAATACATCATTTTAAAATGCTTACTACATTTTTTAAAAAAGTTTTTTTTCTCTTACTTTACATGTATGCTTTTCTCACATATATGTGTCTTTGCACCATGTATGCCTGGTGCCCATGGAGGTTAGAATAGGGCACTGGATCCCCTGGAACTGAGTTATGTATAGGTGTTTATCTGCAACGAGAGTTCTGGAAATAAAATCCTGGTCCTCTTCAAAGGCAACAAGTGTTCTTAAGGACCTAACCATCTCTCCAGCTCCTCAACTATACCTTCTTATCCATTTCTTTTTGTACCAGGATCAGAAGCCCCATGTTCTCTTTTGAATGGTAATCCAGAATATGCAAGTAATAAGAATAATTTGTTATAACTAACTTCTTAATGATGAACTTCTAGGTTGTTTCCTTTCTCTCCCCTACTGTAAACAGGAAGGCTTGGATGTAACTCAGTGGTAGAACATATGTGTAACATGTACAAAGCCCTGGGTTTGATTCCCAGCAATACTATTATGCATATATGTTGATATATCTATAAACAAAAAGTAATTTGTAACCATGGTTTTTTTTTTTGAGATAGGTTTTCTCTGTAGCTTTGGAGCCTGTCCTGGAACTTGCTCTGTAGACCAGGCTGGCCTCAAACTCACAGAGATCTGCCCGTCTCTGCCTCCTGAGTGCTGGGATTAAAGACATAAGCCACCACCATCCAGCAACCATGATATTTTTGATGAAATATGTGTTTTCAAAAACCACTAATTTCAGCTATCTTTCTAAAGGAAACTCTATCTTCTTCAGTTATTGTCATCTGCTGCTATATAAATGTACATGAGTTATTAGGTCATGTCAGTTATTCCTTTTAGACATTCATGTATACACCATACTGTTGGGATCCCTCCTTGGCCCCTGCTGTGTGATATGATGACCCCTGGTCTTTGGCAGACCTCTGTTGTAATGGGCTCTATACCTTCATCCATTTTTTGGAATTTGAGGATGCCAAAAAATAGGGAAGCGGGGATGAACAGGGGCACGCACGTGTGACCATGATTAGCACAGCCCTCCTAATTAAGGTGTATCAGCCAGGGATGTGGGGTTTCTTGATTGTTGTGAGTGTGTGTGTGTGTGTGTGCGTGTGTGTGTGCACATGCACCCACCCTTAGAAACGCTCAAGACTGCACTTGGGTCCCCAAAACACCTGATGTAGTCACCATACTTTCTATAGGCTTAAACCTACATCCGAGTGATCTTTCCCAGTGGAAAACTCACAACCATGTCTCTTGTATTTCTCCAAAAAATAGTTTCATAATGTTGTTCTATACATTTGATTACTCTTAAAACATGATTTAAGTCAAGAGTCAGTTTTTCCATCCATGTGGAGAATTGCCTGGAGGCCTGCATGTTTCCCAATTGCGTCACCCTGGAATTCTTTGTAACTGAATATACAGGAGAATCGAGAGTTTCTCAGAGGTCAGCTGGAGATTTCTGACCTATTGTTGTTTGGAGCCTCCATGGAGTCAACAAACCGACTTCTATTTGATGTCTCAGCAGCCTGACTTGCTGCCGCTGATAAACATCCTGTTATACAAGCCTAACTTTTAGTATATTCTTTTTATTTCTACGGGATTATCTGGATCACATGTTCCAGTGTTTATATCTGCTTCTCTGTCCCCACACTGCTCATTGGCAGGAGGGTCTTTGCTATTCCCTGAACTTTGAACTTCTGTATAAGTAATAAAAACCTGCTGGTCAGATCCTTATGGTCTTTTAGGGCTATCACACTGTCAAAGCATCCAGATTTCTCCTCCTTCCTTCCCTCCTTCTTTCCTCCCTCCCTCTCTTCCTCCCTTCCTTTCCTCCTTCTTTCCTCCCTCCCTCCCTTCCTTTCTTCCTTCTTTCCTTTCTCTCTTCCTTCCTTTTCCTTTCCTTCCCTGCCACTTTCTATCTCTTCCTCTTTATTCTCCTTTCTTTCCTCATAATTTTGCCTCATAATTCCCTCTCCTCCTCAACCCCCCCTTTCTTTCTTGGGTTTTATATAGCCCAGGCTGACCTCAAACTTGATATTCAACTGAGGCTGGCCCCAAACTCCTGATCCTTTTGCCTCCATCCTCCCAGTTCTGGGATTGCAGGTGTGCACCGCCTCACCTAACAGAACCTACGTTTCCTGACCACACACACAAAAAAAATTATTTCAATTCTTGACCTAATATGTGGAACCAGCTATTTTGAATTGAGGACAGTGATAAAGACCACAGCTGGAACCCTGGGACGGGCATACTAGACTGTGCCACATTGGGCTTTGGCGGTACACATGAAATCACCACTTGCTCAGTGGTATGGGTTGGGCAAAGGTTACTTCTTTGTAAAGTCATGAATTCGGACTGACAGCTCCAGAGATGCCTAACACCACCGGATTCTACAGTTTTACGGCAGCAGCTTCAGCATTTCCTTCTCTGTAACTTAATTACTATAATTGCCATTATAATTATAGTCATAACTCCTCTGAAAAATGTGATGCTTCATCAGTCACTCCCGCCTTGTGCCAGGTTTATGCAGGTTTAGCCTCTGGCTTCTTCACATCCGGAGTCTGAATGAATCTCTTCGGTTGTCCGTGGCAGGCTGCTTTGCATTTTGGGTTATTCCTGCTCAGGTCTCCAGCTGGTTTAGAATAGTTGGGACCGACAATGCAATTCTATGGCGTGCGAGGGAACTCTGCACTGCACCTGCATTTCCCAGGTGCAGAATTATCTCCTTCACTGAATTGCATATGGTAGGAAGTGCCACAGCTTCCAGCAGATCCCGTGCCCATGTGCACCTAACAAAGAGCTGTCTGGTGTTCTCCTGGTGGCCCTTCCTCGCCCAGGAATCAGCTGGCTGCCTGCTCCTCTTTCGAAAGTCTAGGCTATGGCTATGGCTGACTTCTCACTATTTATGCCATCTCCTGAGCGCCTGTAGGCCACCATCTTGCCAGTGATTAGCTCAGGAATAAACAGACTTAACCATGTGACATACAAGGGCTGAAGGAAAGAACATAGGGTCAGATCGCTTGATCCCCAGAGCCCTGCCCACCGCTCCCTCCTTTCTCTGGGCGGTAGATCTGGCAGCAGATCACACACGTGAAAGAGAAGGTCCTTGGTACTGCTGCCCCTGACTCCACCTTCTGGGGACCCCCTCCCTCTCCTGTGCTTATACCACATGGTCTTTGTTCTTGTCATTTCAGGCTGTGTTTCTTCCATTTAGGGCTGAGAGTTTTCTCATGTAGATCTGGGAGAGCTGGCAATTTCTAAAGCCTTTAATTATGCTGCCCCTCTATAACAGGCAATCTTCTGTGGATGTACCGCATTAAAAATTATTGCTATATCAGAGTTTTCTTTGGTGTTGTTTTAAGTGGCACATATGTATTCTGAGATGGTGGTTGTCTGTGGTACTTGGGATGGAAACCAAGGCCTCCCTGGTCTAGGCACATGCCTTACTACTTTTCCTGTTCGGTGTCCTGATTTCGTATTTTTGCGTTTGTTTTGAGACAAAGTCTCACTCTGTAACTCAGGATGGCATTGAACGCCTCCCTGTCTCCCTGCTTTAGGAATCCCGAAGAGCTCTTGGATTGCTGGCTTGTGATTCCCATCCCGTTTGGATTCCAGTTCTGGATTAAACATTCAACAATGCATGGTGTTTCCAGTGGGAACAATCCCTCTGAGGTCACTGAGATGGCCACACCTGTATCACCTCTCTCGATGATGTGTGTCCTTTGACAGTGACTGTAAGATGCATTTTGATCTCAGAAATCCTAAAATGTGACAAACTTAGTTTTAGAATTGAAGGAAGGTAGGCTTTTGCTTTTGTTTTTAATGAGGAGGATGACTTAACGCTGGGAGCAGAAAGAAGTGGGTCTCTAAGTGAAGGACAGATGCCTAGTGTGGATTTCGGAGACTTTTGAGAGTCGAAGAGACGCCACTGGCTGCTTCTCCAGGCCCGCCCCCTCCGGCCTAGGCCCGCCCCTCCCCCAGCCGAGGGCCCGCCCCGCCCTGTCTGCGGGCCGACTTGGAGGCGCCCAGCTAGCGCCTCCGCCCCCGAGCGCCAGGGCAGGCGGAGTTGCGGGTGAAGGGAGGGATGTTTGGGGGGCGGGGGTCCCGATGACGGCATCGGAGCGCGCCGCGCCGGGGCGCCGAGCACGATCGCAGGTCCCGGGACTGAGCTCGCACCCTGGCAGGTGGGTGTGGGTCAGGAGAGGGTGGAGGGCGAGGCGGGGCGCACCCGGGAGGCGCCTGAACAGAGCCCCATCGGTGTTCTTCAGCCTGCCCGGAGCTCCTCACTGGGCGGGCCTGGCCAGGAGGAGCAGCCTGCGAGGGTCCGCGTTTGTAATCGCTTTTGCAAACTTTCCGGGAGGGCCTGTTCCCAGTGGTCGATCGCGCGGGAGGAGTTGTCAGGACTCCTTTGAGGCTCGGGGCGTTGATTGTGGGGATGGAGAAGCCAGGTCTAAGCTCCAGAGCCTTACCTGGAGTGTTACTACCACTCCAGGTAGTGTTATCACACCGCCAGACGGTGTTACCTCTGTGTACCCAGGTCCGGGTACCTAATCCGGACCGAAAGAATGAGCGGTTATACGTGTAGCGAGACTAAACAGTAAATACCAAAACAACAAAGTGCAGTGTGATGAGGAAGGGGGATGGAGCTCCGGGGGTCATCAAGGATTACTGGGTAGTGTTGTACCCTGTGCTGGGTGCTGGTGATAGGATTCAAAACAGAGAAGGTTCTTGCTTTTCCATCTGGAAGGCGAATCTGGCAGTTGCATCTGTGTGGTCAGTGTCTGATGTGGGCAGCTCAAAGGTCTGTCTACGGTGGTGGTGGGCACGGAGAAGAGCAGTTTCCCTGGCCCTGTGCAAAAAGTGGGCCCAGCCCAAGCGTGGGTGGTAATACAGAGGTTGTTGACCTGTGAGGTGAGGAGAGAGAGGTACTGATTGTCCAGGAGATGGGGAAAGTGGAGTGTCTGTTCTAAGCTTCCTTTATTGTTGATGGTGGCATATATAAAAAGGAGATTGCTGTGATTGCATTTTTGAAAGCTGCCCCAGGCTGTGGGTTTGGAGAGGCCAGGGAGACTGAGACTCAGAAGGCTGACAAAAATCATCCCTTCAGGATGCCGGTAGCAAGACAGGATGAGGCTAGATCTTGAGGTGTTTAGGAGCTGGAATTGGCAGAACTTAGTGATGGGAACTTACCTTGAAGGATCCGATGGCTTCTTTGAAGAAATGGGCAGGCGTCGAGCAGTCTTGGAGACGGACAGTGGTGGGCTGTGTGAAGCCTAGGGGTTATCAAGGTGAAGGAGTTCCCTGGTATGGTGCCCTGTGTGTGGTTAGAGATGAGGTCACAGGGGAAGGTGTCCGCTGGGACACGAAACCCCAGGGTAGGAAGTAGTGGGGTGTTTTTTGCCAGTGAAGGATGTCAAAAGAAGTTACTGTGTTATGGTGGTATCACTGTTTGTGTGGCATATGGGTGCCAGGTTGAGCAGACGCTCTCAGCTTTGACAACCCCTCTCCCAGTCTTCCCAAGGTCTACAGCTGTGTAGTCTGGTCCTGATGGCAGGGGCCTTTCCTCTTCTCTGCAGATCCAAGAGCTGCCGTCCTTCAACATGGGATTGGAGGCCCAGAGGCTGTCTGGAGCTGAGGAAGCCCCAGTGAGGGTGGCCCTTCGAGTTCGTCCACTGCTGCCCAAGGAGCTGCTGCATGGCCATCAGAGTTGCCTGCAGGTGGAGCCGGAGCATGGTCGAATCACTCTGGGGCGTGACCGCCACTTTGGCTTCCATGTGGTACTGGGAGAGGACGCCGGACAAGAGGCTGTGTACCAGGCTTGTGTCCAGCCCCTTCTTGAGGCTTTCTTCGAGGGCTTCAATGCCACCGTCTTTGCCTATGGTCAGACAGGTTCCGGAAAGACGTATACCATGGGGGAGGCCAGTGTGGGTGAGTGACCCGTATTGTGCCCGTTTGACCACTTTGAGGGACTTCGAGGTCTTCCTGAATTTCTGCTCCCCGACCCCGGGAAGGTGACATGCTGAGGAGGGAATGCAGCCTGAATTTCTGCTCCCCGACCCCGGAAAGGTGACATGCTGAGGAGGGAATGCAGATTTCCTAGACAGAGATCAACACTCCTTAGTGGGACCAGCCATGCCAGTTGCTGGAAAAGGCAGGAAGGGTGGGTGGAGTTGAGGGTGGGTGTCGTTCTCAAGATGGGTTTTGGAATCGTAGCACAGGAAGACCAAGGAATGCTGGCGTGTCTCAGGGCTACCAAGGTCTAGGAACCTGTGTTCCAGTCAGAGCAGTTGAGATTGGAGCCTCTGCATCCGGGGAAGACTCAGTTCCAATGGGAGGAATTCCTCCTTCTAAGTAGCATGAACTATTTTCTCGTCTTTTGTGGCAGAGTCTTGATGTATCTGAGGCTGGTCTGGAATTCACTGCATAGTGTAGGCAGACCTCAAACTTTCAATTTTCTGCCTCAGTTTCCCAAGTACTAGGAAATTATAGACATGCACTACCATACCATGCTCGAAACCTTTTTTTTTAAAAAAAGATTTCTTTTTATGTGTATGAATGTTTTGCCTGTATGTATGTATGAATGTATGTGCACTACATGTATGCTTGGTGTCTTCAGAGGCCAGAACAGGGTACCAGATCCCCTGGAACTAAAATAACAGGTGGTTATGAGCCACCATGTGGGTGCTGGAAACCAAATCCTGGTCTTCTGCAAAATTAGTAAGTGACCTTAACCCCTCAGCAACCTCTCCAGCACCATATACTTTAAGCACCATATACACTCATTTAAGTCATGAGGGCTCCAACTCATGAGTTAGTCACCCTGTTTCCTAATATTATCACAGTAGGGGTGAGGATTTTAACACATGAGTTTTGGGAAGCCATTAGCAGACCATAGCATTACAAAGGTGTAATCGTCTATTATAGAAAATGAAGAAAAATACAAAATAGCATGTTTGATAATTGCCTCTCCGAGCTTTTTCTCTGTGAAAATAGTTATTCTTTAAGCATGAATTTTTAAAATTTTTTTTTGTCTTTCGAGACAAAAACTGTGTAGTCTCTGTGTTGTCCTCACTGTCCTAAATCTTACTCTGTCGACCAGGCTGGCCCAAAACTCAGGGATCCACTTGCCTCTTCATCCTAAGTGTTGGGATCAAAGGCATGTATCACAATGCCCAGCTAAACATGGCATTATTTTATACTTACTCTTTTCTAGCCTGTTTTATTTTCTTAATAATATGCCATAGGGCTGCGGTTGTATGTAGCTCACGGGTAGAGTTGCTGTCATGTTTGAGGTCATGACTTTGATCCTCAACACCACATGCGCAGACGCCTACACTCAAATGAATAATATTTCATGGTAAATGTTCATGGCTTATGCAGTACCACACCTGGCAACATGTGAATTTTCTGGCCACGGAATAGTATTTTAGTTCCTGACCTTATGTGGAACCATCTACTTTGAATTGAGGATAATGATAAAGACTCTGTGTGTGTGTGTGTGTGTGTGTGTGTGTGTGTGTGTGTGTGTGTGATGAACATTTATCGTTAAATATCGTTCAGTCTGTCTTGTGTGTGCGTTGCTGTGTATTGAACTTGGGGTCTCACATGTTAGGCAAGTGCTCTACCACTAAGCCACAGTAGTCTTCAACCTCCTTTTTATTTAGAAACTTCCTGGCATTCTGCTGTGAATGTATTCTTAGGATGAACACTACTTCCTTGAAGCAAACTAAGAGCCCTTTAGTTAGCTGTGCATGGGCCATGCTAGTGACTTACTTGTCCCGGGGAGAGATGGAGCCCAGGGTATCTGATATCTGTTGGGAATGTAGTGAAGGGGGTTGATGAAAGGTTGCTCGAATTCCCTAATTCTGCTTAACCATCCTGGAGCACCGCCTACCAGAGGCTGTCTGCCCTTCTTGGTCCCTGTCATTGTCTTCTCCGTGCTGCAGCCCCATTCTCAAGCCGATGGTGGGATGTAGGATACTTGGGCCGGGTTTAGCGGAGGGGGGGGGGTGGCAGTGGGAGACTCTGTGGTATCTCCCTAGCCTCCCTGCATGAAGATGAGCAGGGCATCATCCCAAGGGCCATGGCCGAGGCCTTCAAGCTCATCGATGAAAATGACCTGCTAGACTGCCTGGTGCACGTGTCCTACCTGGAAGTGTACAAGGAGGAGTTCCGAGACCTGCTAGAAGTGGGCACTGCCAGCCGGGACATCCAGCTTCGGGAAGATGAGCGGGGAAACGTTGGTGAGAAACGTTGGGGATTGGGAGTGAGGCTAGGAAAGCCTCAGGCTGGCTTGCCTGTGTGGGAGAGACATTCCATGAAGGAAAACACCATCCAGCCCCTGGATGCTTTTTTTTTTCTCCTGCCTCCACTTAGTTGAATATGTGCTTCTGTGTCCAGAGTGAGAAGCACCAAGGTTAAGTGTGGGAAAGCTAGGACCCTGGGCATGAGTGGGTGCTTCTGGGGGAGGAAGAACAGGTAGGAGTCCCGGACTGTTGTGCTTGTCTCTGGCTGTCTGTAGGGAAGCCGCTCACAGTCTTCTGTATCCACAGTGCTGTGCGGGGTGAAAGAAGTGGACGTGGAAGGCCTGGATGAGGTGCTGAGCCTCCTGGAGATGGGCAACGCTGCGCGGCACACAGGCGCCACCCACTTCAACCGGCTCTCCAGCCGTTCACACACGGTCTTCACTGTGACCCTGGAGCAGCGGGGACGGGCTCCCAGCCGGTTGCCTCGACCCGCCGCCGGCCACCTGCTGGTCTCCAAATTCCACTTCGTGGACCTCGCAGGCTCCGAGAGGGTACTCAAGACCGGCAGCACCGGCGAACGGCTCAAGGAGAGCATCCAGATTAACAGCACCCTGCTAGCGCTCGGCAATGTCATCAGCGCTCTAGGGGACCCTCAGCGCCGCGGCAGCCACATTCCCTACCGCGACTCCAAGATCACCCGGTGAGCTGGCCCATCTCTCTGGGCTCGGTTGGGGTCATGGAGCCCTCCAGGAAGGGTGGCTTTGTCACCTGGTCCCAGGTGAGTATTCACAAGAGCTCAGCCGCTGATGCTCATCGTCCTCTGACCGGCAGGATCCTCAAAGACTCCCTGGGAGGGAACGCTAAGACAGTGATGATTGCCTGCGTCAGCCCCTCCTCGTCCGACTTCGACGAAACTCTCAACACTCTCAACTACGCCAGCCGCGCCCAGAACATCCGCAATCGCGCCACAGTCAACTGGCGGCCCGAGGCCGAGCGCGTCCCCGAAGAGCAGGCTGTGGGTGCGCGTGGGCCGCCGCGACACCGCTCGGAGACGCGCATCATCCACCGTGGCCGGCGCGTGCCCGGCCCCGCAGGGGGCTCCA